GGAAAGAGTCTGATCAAGAAGCAAAGTTATAAACCATGGCACTGAGACAATGCTGTTTATATTTTACTAGCTGCTTCCATCTCACTCTAGCTTCTAACAGTCATGATGCTGCAATTTTTAAATCCCCTGTGATCTTCCTAATGGTGCCCCCCTCTCTTGCTGCATCAGGTAATTTCCTTTTTCCTGTCCTCACTTCTCATCCACCTCTTTCTCAATAACTGTTCTGTTCTATCTGATCTACTCAGCATCATCTTCTCTGCCTTCCCATTTCTTCCACCTTGGCAGCTTCATACACTTTTTAACAAGGTCAAGTCACTCACTGGTGTACCTCAGCATAACAAATAGGAATCTAGTCCATAATCTGGCATACTTTAAAACTAAACATCCTGTCACACACTCTTAGCCACCAGATAAAAGTTGGAATTCTCTGACATTAAAAAGACATAGTCAACTAATTGTGGTTGCCAGTTTCCTTTCTTTCTCCTTTCATAAATCTTAAAGACTCTCTGAAGATAGAAAACATTTGCCCACACTGATTTAATTACTTTTCATCTGGTAAATTACATTTTCTCCTTGAAATAAGCACAGCTGGTTTTGGTTAACTTTTACATAAAGTTAGTGCCTTATTTTATGTCCAAGTGCAGCAGGAACCAAAGATACTGGTATATATATTTTCCTGTATCAGTGCAAGTTCAGCTCCTTTTGAGACAACTGATACTTGCACATTCAATGCAGATTGGCTAAGATATAGTAGCAAGTTACCTTAATCAAATATACAGCAGTACTTTGGGCTTGTATACAATTCTCTGTCAAAGAACTTGAAAAACATCAGTGAAGCACCTTCTCCCACACAGAAATCTCTACTCAATTGCTCTGGAACAGTGTCCCCAGTTACACTGGCCACAGAGTTCAGAAAACAGTTATTCCAGTGTAAATGTTTTTGAACCAGTAGTGGTACTGGTGTAGAATGCAAACTGAAATGGGGGCAAAGCCAGAACAAACATATGAATCCATTTGGGAAAAGGGAGTTGCATTTTTCTTCTGTGAAGAAGTATTGCTCTGAAAATGCCTTGGTTTGGGGCTAAATTGGGAACAAACCCATGTATGGGGTTTTGCTCAGCCTTCCTGACCTAGCTAGCACACACTTTGCTACTGAGACACTACATTTATTTTACTGCTTTAAGATTCAGGAAAAAAATCCCAGGGGTATTAATGTTTTTTTTGTTTTGTTAAACCAGTATATTGCCAGCTATGTTAATGGACATTACAACCCAGGTTACTGGAAGAGATGCTCTCCCAGGACTTGTCATTTATGGTACTGATTTTAAAATATTTAACTCTTGCTTCTTTCCTCAGCCCTCCCCCCCTTCACTTGCTCACTCCCCTCCCCAATAGCATGACTGCACTAACCATGTATCATGTGCTTACTTATTTTCTTGCTCACTAGATGGAATATACTTCCAGTCTTTGTATACCAGCTTTGTACATCAGGAGCACACTGTGAGCATTCAGCTTTACCTCAGAATCAAAGGGGTTATATATAAAACCTTTATACAGTGCAATTGCCGGCAACAGCCAGGGACTGGACTTGATGACCCACGGAAAGGCCCCTTCCAGTCTCAGGCTCCTACAACCCACATATCAATACCAAGAATCTCTCACTCCATGCTGTTACTAGTAGGGAAACTGCCTTTTCCCATAGTCAACAGATTTTGCAAAGGTAGTGACTAAAAAAAAAGCATTATGCATTATGCCCATATTTCAGTTTATGTTGGGATGATTGTACAGGGTTCTCCAGACAGCTCCGGTACATGTTTTTTAAAACGCCAAGGTATGAATCTGTGGTTTTCTGATGCTCTTGTAAAGCCAAAAGGACCCCAGGAAACTTTCAGCATCTAATGATAAAGCACAAAATGTGTGACCTAGTCTTAATATTTGACAAGTGTTCTAGTTCATTGTAATCAAACTTTGTCAATGCCATGGTAGCTTCATTGGAAAATGAAAACCCTAGCATTTAGAAAAAGAAGCAGTAATGAGAAACAAAGATGATAAGCAGAACTAAGTGCAATCTTCTAGGTGAGGCAAAAGATCATTGTAAATACAGAACTTTTACACATACACTCACTGCATATGAAATCACACAAACATTTATTTCTATGGTTTGTCTATTTATAAAATCTTGAATCAAATCCATTTTGCCTCCACTACATGTTCCCATTTCTATGACTCTTCATTCACTTATCACTGGACTGAATAGGATATTGGATATCATTCTGGTCAGTCCACAGAAGTAATGGGAAGCTATGATATGTAATAAACACAGCATTATTTTTTATATAACAGACCTAATATGCTTCTTGGCATGTGCTTTGAAACTATTCCTGAGGCACACGACTACCCTACTACCCTTTCCTGAAGGATTTCTGCTTTCACATAGCCTTACTATTTATTTGATAGATAGCTACTTACAGTAAAATGATCATCCCTTCATCTTATTAAAAAAAAAAACACCTCATAAGAGCCTTAAATAAAGGTGCACCGTGTGTTATTTTAAAATGAAAGATCAGTATTTTGCTCTTGAGGGAAGAAATGTGGAAAATACACTTTGATGGGTCTCCAAACAAATAGGGCTTGGATAAATGTTCACCAATTTATGTAAAAGCCTCCAAAATTTCACCTCCAAATCTAGATCTGAAAACCAAAGACTTTTTTTAATAGTCTTTCATTGCACTTGCACAAAATATACATTTTGATTTTTTACTAATACTACACATATATACTTAAATTATGGATTAGTCTGTTAATTTTAACTACCTCACAAAATGCATACAAACTAAAATATTGTTGTCTAAACAAGAATTGAAAGCAGCAGAGTACAAATTTCAAATTTGTGCCAAAATGTTCTTACATTGACTAAAATTTTTATATTAGATATACTTCATTTTATGCATTTCATTAAACTTTGATCACTTTTGTTAAGTGACTTCCCAGGAAAGTTGGTATTATTTCTGCTCCATCAAATGCAACAGCATTAAGGTTTGGGTCACAGGGAGACCATTTTATTGCCAATTTGAAGTGTTCCAGAAACGCATCACTATTTTTAGTAGGCAAGAAGAAAATTTAAAAAAAGTGTAAATACAATTTCAATAGTGATTTTTTTTAAAATTTCTCAAGCATCTCTCATCAACAGGATATACAGTACAGTTTCAGAAGAGTAAACATTTTATAAGTAAGCAAACAACTTTTTTTCAACCAACATACACAATTTCTTGCTGTATTTATGCTGAACTCTCCTTTTAATATGGACAAGTATGAAGTTAGTTTTCTTCTTCAATACAACATGGACACAGGACTGGTACAATCCAGGTTTTTTGTGTTGTTTAAAGTTAAAGACAACTCTATACTGTGAAATCCATGGTCCTGCCATCCATCTCCCACCATCATCTTGCATAGCGCTTAATGTAATCTTCAACTTTATTCCGAAAGTCCTCCTATGGGAAAGAAGAATCAGGATTACAACCCAAACAGTTCAGAGACACAAAAATAGCACTGGAGGCATAAAATATCCATGTTAGGTACTCAAGGGACTTGTTTTGGAGCCCTCTCCCACAGAATCACTGCATGTCGCCATCACTGTGTATACAGTTCTCTGAAAACTGGCTGAGTCATTGTAAACAAAGACTTTTCACCCTGCAACTAAAAACTGACTGGAAAAAATAGTTCATACAACACTTGAAGTAACATTTTACTACCAACAACTGTCATGGTAGGTCAAGCCTGAAGAGCAGTTACAGAATTCAGTTACAATCAGGATGGGCCCTAACTAAGAATGGGCTATGGACTATATAAGCATGGTCATGTACTTTTACTGAAGAGGAAAGAATCCTTTCTGACAAAAGGGGGAATTGATATAAAACATCCTATTAGCCAATTACACACTGAATTTCAGACTCCTCAACTCTGCATTTGGTCCAGAGAAACTAACCCACCCTCCTTTGTGAAACTGAACAGTATCACAGTTTCCATTTAATTAAGTTCAAGTACATCCTGCTGTCTTTTAGTTTTCTAGTCTGCAGTAAATTTTAACTTTATGTAACAAGCCATTGGCTTGCTATAGTGACTTAGAGAGAATGTACTTACATTTACAACCCTCTAAATATAAGGGGCCACTGCCTCCCCTTGGTAGATTACAATGAAAGCTCCAGATTCCATGTTTTAGTATGAACTTACAGATAGTCAGGGACAGAAATCAGGTCTAACAATTTGAGAGTTTAATGCGTTTGAAAGGTAGTAAGTTGTTCTATTGTTTGTGGCCTTTAAAGAACTTATTTCACAGCACATAAGACTGAACAATGCAAAATGAAAATTTGTAAGAGTACTGCAAGTAATAAGCTCAGAAAAACTTAAGCAGCAGTAATTTTTAAAATGCAGTTTCCTTTCAGAAATGTAAAGCAGCAATTTCCATTTTGAAATAATAGGCAATGATTCATTTAGAAATAAGAAATGCAATACCAGCACTCAAAACGGCAAGAAAAAGTTATCAGGGGCCAAACCAGCTTAACTGCACTTAACTTAAAAAAAACAACAACAACACACAAACAAAAAACCTAACAGAGGACGTAAGAATTGCAGTTTACTAGGTCAGGCCATCTAACCCAGTATCTTGTCTCTCAGTGGCAGAGAGTAGATGCTGAAAGGCAGAGTGAACTGGGTATGACTAAATTTTTTTCCCCAGTGTTCCTCTCACTTGCAGCCTCCAGCATCTAAGGTATAGGAAGTTCCAATTCAGAGGCTGCATCCCTAACTCTCATGCTCAATAGATACAAATCCTTTTCTCCAAGAATTTATCCAATCTGTTTTTGAATCTGGCTACACTATCAGCTTCCACAACATTCCCTTGGTAGCAATGAGTTCTACAATTTAGTTACCCACAATGTGAAAAAACTTCCTCTTGTTAGTTTTAGGCCCCCTCTACATGTGCAGGTAAAGGCGCAGTTGGATGTAATGCATGATCCACACAATCCTGTCTCCTGCTGTGCCACATGCATGGCAGGAGGTGCAACTGTGGGATTGCGCATTAGATACAATTGTGCATTGTTGCCACTTTAGCGGGAGCCAGATCCTAGGTTCCCCCTGAATCAACAAGAAGCAGGCACCCACGGCTGGGAGCCCTCTTTGCTGAAGGGGCTCCCAGCCGCAGAGGCCACATGCTGGGCCCAGAGACCATACAGCTGATGGGGCTTTGGGTCCCAGCTGTCCACTCACACATGAGGTACAGCTGGGACTTAAGAGCCCCATCAGCTGTGGGGACTCTCAGTCCCTGCTGCAGGTGATGTACAGCTAGGACCAAGAGCTCTGCATGGGACCAGGGGTTTCATGCTCCCCTGAGCCTTGGGGGATCATAGCAGCTGCGATCCCCAGGTCTTGGGGGTTGCACCCCTGTGGCTGGGAGCCCTGTTAGCTGCTATACATGCAAATTAAAGCTCAATAGCAGTCAGCTATAAAGTTAGTGAACATTTTCAAGATCCAACTTTATAGCTCGTTGGAGCTTTTTTATTGGTGTGATAGCTACTTTGCATGTATAGTTGATCTCCAGGTAATTGCCCAATTAAACTAGTTAATTGAATAATACCTGTAATACGTAGAGGGGGCCTTAAGCTTACTATCTACTAGTTTTATTTTGTGACCCCTAGTTCTTGTATTGAGAGAGGGTAAATAATAAATCCCTTACTTTCTCTCTGCCATTTAGTATTTTGTAAAAACCCTTATTGTGTCTGCTCTCAAGCACCGTTTTTCTAAACTAAATAGTCCTAGCCTTTTTAATCTCTCCTCCATACCACCATGGCAGCCGATCCATACCACTGATCATCCTTGATGCCCTTCTCTGTACCTTCTTTAGTTCTTCTATACTCTTTTTGAGGTGTGGGGACCAGAACTGGGCACAGTATTCAAGGTGTGGATGCATCATGGATTTATAAAGCAGCATGATGATACTTTTCAGTTTTGTTTACAATTCCTTCTTACTAATCCCTAATGTACTATTTTCCTTTTTGGTGGCTGCTGACCACTGAGCTGATGTTTTTAAGTCAACTGTCCCATATGACTTCTGTATCTCTTTCCTGTGTGGTAACAGCTAATGTAGAACCCATCATAATGTAGGTATAGTTTGGGTTATTTTCGCCCAGGTGCATCACTTTACACTCATCTACACTGAATTTCATCTGCCATTTAGATACGCATTCACTCAATCATACAAGATCCTTCTGTAGCTCCTTACAGTTCACCTTGATCTTTACCACTTTGAATAATTTTGTGTCATCCACAAATCTGGCCACCTTGCTACTCACCCCATTTTTCAGATCATGCAAGTCTGTTAAACAGCACTGGTCCCAATGCAGATCCCTGGGGGAATCCCACTGTTTACTTTTTTCCATCCTGAAAACTGATCATGTATATTCACTCTTTGCTTTCTATCTTTAAGCCAATTTCTAATCCACAAGTAGACATTTCCTGTAATCCCATGACTATTTTGGAAATCCAAAGGCTTTTTTGGAAATCTAAATATACTGCGTCAACTGGATCACTCCAATTCACTTGCTTACTGACACCCTCAAAAAACTAAAGCGGGTTGGTGAGGCATGACTTCCCTTTGATAAAGCTGTGCTGATTCCTCCACAGCAAATCATGTTCATGCATGTGCTGAACAATTCTTTTTTTATTATTATTTCTATCAATTTTCCAGGAACAGAAGTTAGGTTTACTGGCCTGCAGTTCCCTGCATCCCCTCTACAGCCTTTTAAAAATACTGGAGTCATGTAGACAACCCTCCAGTCCTCTGATAGAGGCTATTTTTAGTGATAGGTGCATACTCCAGTTAGGACATCAACAATTTCTGATCCGAGTTCCTTAAGGACCCTAGGGTGAATACTATCCGGTTCTGGTGATTTGCTCCCATTTAGTTTATCAAATTTCCTCTATGACCTCATCTACTGAAACCTCAATTTGGGTCAGCTCCACTTGTCCCTAGAGAGGAATGGATCTAGTAAGGGAATCTCACTGCCGTCTTCCACAGTAAAGACAAACGCAAAGAATGCACTTAGTTTCTCAGTAATGCCCGTCATCCTTTAGCATTCCTTTTACACCTTGATCATCCAAAGGCCCAATCAATTCCCCTAGCAGGTCTTCAGCTTCTAATATATTTATTTATTTATTTATTTTAATTGTTACTTTTGTCTCTAGCAAGTTTCTCTTAATATTCTTGTAGCTTGTCTTATTACAGTTTCACATTTGATTTGACAGAGTTAGTGCTCTTTTTCTTTCCTCATTAGGATCTGACTTTCACTTCTTGAAAGCAGCCTTGTTTCTGTTTATTTTCGCTGCAACTCTGCCATTCAGCCACACACATTCTTTTTTGGTCCGCTTTCCCCTTTTTTGGATTTGCAGTAGGCATTTGCACTGTGCCTCCAATATGGTGTTCTTAAGCAGTTTCCACATTACTTGCAGGTTCTTCATCTCCTTAGGGGGGCCCTTGTAACTTCTGTCTAACTAGCTTTCTCTTTTTGGTGCAGTCTCCCCTTTTAAAATTAAAGGCCACTGGAGTAGATGTTCTTCTAGTCTGCCCCCTGTGGTTACTATTGCAGAGTGGCTCAGTAACACTTACCCTTTGCACCAAATCCTGTTCATTACTTAGAACTATTGCTCTTGTAAGTTCCTTCCCAAGAAAAGATCTTGATGTGACAAGTTCCAGTCTCTAAAGTTCCACTTCTCTATGGCTAGAAATAGATCACTGAATGGAGTGGATCAGCTGTGCCTCAACGTATCAGCGGATCTGTTTCAGTGAGTGAAACATACATCATGCCTTGTCCTGCCCTTGATGGTGCAGGCCAAGGGGCTGGCTGGGCAGGGATTATCCCGCTTGGGTAATCCCTGGGCACGGATTACCCCACTTTTCCTGTTCCCCCAGACCCACAAGGCTGGCTGAGCAGGGAAGCCCTTTTCTCAGCCAGGCTGGCTGAGTGGGAAAAGCACTACAAGGTAATAGATAGATGTCTGCTGCAATATAGTGGAAGAGTCTATTACTACTTTTTGTTGACAGGAAAATCAGCATCACAAGAAAGGGCATGGATGTCTATTATTTGCTCAGCATTTGTGACTTCAGACAATGCCCATTTCCATCGTATATTTCCTAACAGATTTTCCTTGCATGTTACCCGATACACACAACTAGATTGCCACCTGAACCTTCAATGGACATTGAGAATTGGCCAAAATACTAAGTAATGTTTGTACAAAGTTTAAATATGTATGTAGAACACCACAAATACTACCACCCCCCTCCTTTAATTGGTCTTAGAACAGTGGTGGCCAACCTTTTGGTCACATGTGCCACAAATTAAGCTGCACACCCTCCCCGAGTGCCCTTCTAATCCCCTTTCCCTGGCCTGTCCTGCTGCTTTGTTTTCTACTCCCTGCCCTTTCTGCCACTGTACTA